CGCCCCGCGCGCTTGGCTGTGCTCGGCGCCCGAGGCCATGGCGGAACAGCGGTACTGCGTGGACTACGCCAAGCGCGGCACGGCCGGCTGCAAGAAGTGCAAGGAGAAGATCCTGAAGGGCATGGTCCGCATTGGGAAGGTTGTGCCCAACCCCTTCACCGAGTCGGGCGGCGACATGAAGGAGTGGTACCACGTGAAGTGCATATTCGAGAAGCTGGAGCGGGCTCGTGCCACCACCAAGAAGATCGAGGACATCACAGACCTCGAGGGGTGGGAGGAGCTGCAAGACGCCGAGAAAGACCTCATCAACCAGCTTATCTCGGGTGAGAGCCCCTGTGCCCCGTCCCCCCGCCCCCTGCATCTTGAGGCAGGGACAGAAAACAAAGTTACCGCAAGGGAGAAGAGGCAGGGGCGCTCGCACGCATGCGCAAGGTGACCTGTCATCTGCCCCTCTTCAGGGCACTGGGAGCCACTGCTGGTTTCTGGTCCCAGCTCTGCTGTGTCGTGCTGTGCGACCCTTGGCCAATCCCCATAACTTTGTGCTTATTCCTCTGTAGAAACACCTTCCTAAAGGGCGGGATGTTTTGTAGCTCAGAAACAAGCTGCTTATTGTCAAGCATTGTGACTTGTTAAGTCTTATTGAGGACTGTGGGGCTGTCACTGATCGTGGATCTCAACACTTCATCTCTTACAGAGGCCACATCCAAGTCTGCAAGCACACCTAAGAAGAAGGCAACAGTCCAGGCTAAGCTGTCCCCCAGTGGGCAGATAACCTCCCCCAAGAAAGATCCAGGAGCTGTTCCTAATCCATCTCCAAAGAAATTCTCTGGTTTCACAGGTCGGAGTTGGTATATAGATGCTGGGAGAAGCTTTTATTTCTCACATAGCATTCATATTTCTGGCGTTTCAAGCCGAGTCTCACACCAGTAGCTTTCATCTAGAAACTAGAAGGTTGTTTAGTACAAACTAAATTTCATATTTAGTTTGAGGAAAATGTTAAGTATTTTCTCAGCTGTCAGGTGTTTGCATTATTCTGGTTGTGTGAACAAGGATAAAACCAACCAAATATTCTACTCAAAAACTGTAAGGGGACTGCAAAAAATGTTTGACTGTCTCATCTGAAATCGGCAGAAACCTGCTCCTGTTAGCCTCAGTGGAAAATCTCTCATTGTCATTAACAGGAGCAGGACAGGAGTTTTCCCTCTCTCTGTGGGGTATGAATAGTGAAGGTATTTGGAAAGCTAATATGGAACTGGCAAGCTGTTTTTTGTGACTTGTGTTGATTACGTTACCCCTTTGAAGGGCCGCTAGGTTTTGAAATGATGTGCCCTTTTATGCTAAAAGAGAGGCAGAAATAAAGCAGATAAAACACCTGAGCTTTTCTAATATATTTTAGCACTTCAGTTTGTTAAACTAAAGCCACCACCTTCCAAAACTGCAACCATTGTCCTCCTGGTGTGACTGTACTGTATAACCAGATACCTGAATATATTGAAGTTTGTAAAATGTAGGCTGTTACACAGCCTTTCTTTGCTTGTTAAAACTAAGATAACCATTTATTTCTAAATGTACTTTTTTTATTTTATTTTATTTTATTTTTTTAATTGGAAAAACTGCTTCTGACGGCTACTTGAGAATCCAACTCAAATGAGGTATTCTTTTACAAGAAGCAAGCCTCTCCGATAAATTGATCATTTGCCAGTTAGTTCTTTAGCTTCATAAGGAACTGTGATGCAGCTGATTTAGCTCACTGAATTACAGATTTGCAGAAGGCAGGGCAGGGTAGCATCTTGGGGCTCCTATACACATGTACAGAGCCTGCTCTGGTGTGCTGGAAATCCAGCATGTAATCAAGTCTGCTGGAGCACGCAAATTGATGTGCTCCAGCAGCCTCACACGTCACGTGTATCAGTGTCGTCATGCGTCTCCGCACTGACAAAATGCCAGTGGTGTGCTTTGAAATAAGCCCCATCTGATGAGCTTTAGTTCAAAGTGCCCTGTTGCCGTTTTTTCAGTGTGGCAATGCTGATACGCAGGATGCGTGGGCTCTTTTAATTAGCGCAGCTTGCTAATCAAAGCACCAATCCAGGAATGCACATAAAAATGTCCTTGGAGACTGACTGAGCTTTTGTAGGAGCAGCGTCTGAGAGCTGACTCCCCTGACAAAGTCACTGATTGTATATTGAACCCTCTGTCTGCAGTACTTGTGCAAAAGGATGCCACCAGTCAGATAAGCTGTTTTTATATAATTATAATAGAATATATTTTATCCACATGCAGGCTAAAATTAAATCATCTCATCAAGTCATCCCATCTTTGGATGACTTGATCCTACTGTACATAAGATGTCCAGATCCTGCATAAGGTTGACAAGACAGGTTCCATCTTCCTGGTGAGAGCAGGTATCTTTGGAAGTTGATTGGAAAAAAAACAAATAATGGTTAAGTCGACAGTTGTAAGAAAACCTGTGCCTTTGTCAAGCCTTTTCCACCCACTGAAGATTGCCTTCATGGTTGCAGATATTGGGGAAATCTGCTGCAAGTCCAGAAAGTAAAATAAAATTATCACTCGCCACAGTTTCTTTGCATCAAGATTTAAACCATTGAAGTAGGTAGATTTAAGCTCCAGAAAATTCTTCTGTGCTCTGAATGGAAAAGACTTATTAAAGTAGCATAAATTTTGTTTTAAATGCTGATTCAGATTTTGATCATAAATTCTCAAATATTGCTGTGCATTTCATTCATATTTGAAGCTTTGCCAGTTTGTTAGTATTGTTCTTGCTTTCCACTTGCATGGACAATGGTGCCCGTCTCTTCAAAGTGTGACTCATATCATTCCAGCCTACATCTTAAAAATTTAAATAGTATGTCTTTCTCTTGCAGCTAAACCAGGCAGTTCTGAGGACACCCCTGCAAATTCTTCCCACAAGTCTACTCTGTCTTCAAAGAAGTGTGACCCAAAGCACAAGGATTGTTTGTTGCGGGAATTCAGAAAATTGTGCGCCATGGTTGCTGACAAACCCAGCTATAACGTGAAAACACAGATCATCCAGGACTTTCTGCAGAAAGGGACTGGGGGAGGTGTGACTCCTGCTTGACATTTCACTGTGTGTGAAGGGCTTTTCTAAAACAATTAACCAGACCCTCAAGCATTATTTCAGGAGTTGAGGAAGGAAAAAAGTCATGTCTGTGGATGAGGATTCCCAGAGTTGTGCCCTATACCACTTATCTCTAATATAATCTGGGTGGTATCCATAGTGTGCTTTCCATTCTCTTTACTATTGTGGAGATAGTAAGTTGTATTAAGACTAACAACAAGATCACGAGCAGTTGGTGCCAAATCTGCAGTACCAGTGGTGATGCGTAGGGTGTGCACAGGGGTGCTTGTGCACCCCCTGAGAGCGCTGGTGCACCCCCTGTCAGCCAGCGTGCCCAGGTGAGGGGGCAGGCAAGAGTGCTGGTGCCCCCCTCGAGAGCACCAGCCAGGAAGTGCACCAGGAGAAGCTGTCCCCCCGCTGCCGATCCCACCGACCCAGAAGTGCCAGCGGCACACTGCTGCCAATTGCAGGTCAGCAGGATCAGTTGTGCGGGATCTCTTCCCCACCCCCAGTTGCTGACTGTGCAGTCAGGTGGGGCAAGTGACTCAGGAGGCACCAGTCACCCATGTGCGGTACTAAAATTAGATGAGGAAGGGATCAACTGGATGATTCCCCTGAGAAGTGTCCTTTAATATAGAGAAGAACTGAGGGGTGGCCAACCTGTATCACATGTGGCACAACTGTCATGAGCAGCTTGTGTGTGGTATGCAACAGACTGGAGAGGAGACAGAGCAGAAAGCAAAGCAGCAGGGCACAGAGCAGGAAGGAGAGCAACCTTAGGCAGGGGAAGGGAATCGTAGTGACACACGGGAAGGTGTAAGGCTAATTTATGGTACACCTACTAAAAAGGTTAGCCCCTGCTGGAGTAGAAGAACATAGGGTGATGCATGAGAGCTGTCACTGGAGTGTTTTCTATTACAGTTAGTATTTCTCTTTTGTGACATTGCAGTTAGATGCTAGAGTCTGTGGCTGTGACTAGGCTTTGACAGTTTCTAATGACGTTTGCATCTTTTTCCAGATGGCTTTCATGGTGACTTGTACCTGACTATTAAGCTGCTGTTGCCGGGTGTCATTAAAATTGTGTACAACTTGAATGACAAGCAGATTGTAAAGCTGTTCAGCAGAATTTTCAACTGCAGCCAGGATGAAATGGTCCGGGACCTGGAGCAGGTCAGTAAAGAGATGTACATAGCATGTTCACTTCATGTTCAGCCTTGTTGATATCGAAACTATGGATTTTTCCACTTGAAAAAACGATAAGCTTTCTGGAGCCCGTTCTGATGGTCCTTCTTATCTTGGCAGTTTATCATGAGGTTACTGCAGCCTGGAACCTTGCATATAATAGTGTTCCAATCAAAAGCAGTGATGTATTGCTCATAGGAGCCAAGACTGAAGGTAGTCTAATATAAAGTCTACCAATATTATGATGATCACACCTTGATGCAGTGAAATCTAGGCCACTGCTGCCATGGAACTATTGGTTTGTCTGGCTTATTCCCCTTCAACTGTTTTTTATAAACACCCAGGGGAAAAAATAATGTGCAATTGATATGAAATAAAGGTGATCACTCTATTCTTTTAGGCTTGGTCTATATTGATTTCCAATGAAGTGGGTGACTGATATACAGGTTCTGTAAGAACTGTGAAATCAGATTGCATTGTGGCAACAGTGGAAAGTACTGTGATAGTAAGATATTATGATACTGTCTGTCCTTTGCACATGCTATTACAGAAAGCAGATGAAAATATTAACTCAGTGCCATTACAACTCTCCCTGCAGATATCAGACTCCTTTGTTCCCCCCCTAGTGAGGATCTAGTTTTAGGAATCAAACTTCATCCCCACTGACCCATCATTCTTGTTTTTTTTCCCTCCCAGACCTTTGATAAATTCCAGTATTGTTTGTTTTTGGAGACAGGGAGATGTTTCAGAAACAGTCCGCATCTTTTTTGAGGAGAGCAGGTCCTGTCCTCCAGCTGCCAAAAGTCTCCTCACAATCCAGGAAGTGGACGAGTTCCTAATCGGACTGTCAAAGCTTACAAAGGAGGATGACCAGCAAACTCTGCTTCAGGGTATCACTCGCAGGTAAGGCAATTTACTTGTAAATGAGGCTGTAAGATCATAACCAGGACAATCCCTAGTTCATGTTTATGTGTGTAATGGGATTCTGTCTTGGATAGATAAGTGTGTTCTCTGGCTTTTTAGCAATCTTAAGCATATAGTTGCTTTTCTGTAGCACCATTGCAAACTACTTTGTAAACTGTATGTATACCCCATTAGTTTGCTTTCCCTCCCAGGAATGGATGAATCAATTAAATAACTCATAGCATAACAGTGAGAGATGCAAATCCCTGTTTTAAATGCTGTACTATCTTGAATTAGCTTTAGGTATTTGAGTCTCTCTTCAGTTTACTTGGAGTAAATGACCTGGAGCTCACTTGCCTCTGATTCTGATGCATGAAGGATTTGACTGTGCTGGGATTTGAATCTGGGGTTCATGATCATTTTGATACTTCTGTCCTAGAATGTAGATAATTGTGTCTTTTCAACCATGGACAGGAAATCATGGGAGCTTTAAGGGTTTTCCCATGTTGTGACAGAGTGTATGGCTTTCATCTACTCCCCCTTTTAGCAGAGCCCTTCCTGGAAAGGGGTAGCATAACTGAAATGAGGATGCACCATCTGTTTAGCTATTTATGTAACACAAATAACAGTGGGGGGATCTACTGTACTGCAGCAGTTTGATGCAGTACACTAGAATCTGTACTGTAGTGGGTGGGGGCTCTCTCATCTCTACCTTCTTCCTGAGTTTAGTCCTTCTGTTCTCTCGAGGGGTTTGCAACAAAGGGCTTTGCTTCTTGTTGCAAACGGTTGAGTCTTTCTTTTCCTTTTTTATCTTGAAGTAATGGGTCAGAAGAATATTAGCTCACTGGATCTTCTCCTTGCATTTTAGGTGCACGGGCAATGACCTGAAATGCATCATCAGGCTTATAAAGCACGATTTGAAAATGAATGCTGGTGCAAAGCATGTGTGAGTCCCACCTTTTATTGTATAAGAAATGAAACCCAAAACAGACACAGTCCTTTTGAGCTATTGGCAGGGAGGTCGGGGCTGATTAGAGTAACTTTTTTCTTTTTCTTCTCCCTTAACTGTTTAAAGGTTAGATGCTTTGGATCCAAATGCCTATGAGGCATTCAAAGCATCACGCAATCTTCAGGATGTTGTGGAGCGTGTGCTAAGAAACCAGCAGGAGGCAGAGAAGCAGCCGGGTCTGAAGCGAACCCTCAGTGTGCAGGCCTCTCTGATGACCCCTGTTCAGCCTATGCTGGTAATGTGAATTTCCTGCGTACCCTGCACTAGAGGGAGAAACTGGGGATTGTCACACAAAATGACCCGAGATCTCAACCTTTGAGAATCAGTTGGTACCTAAATGGTTATGCATTATGGGGTGATGGTTTGTGGTGATATGTCTAGCTTTGAACTGTTCTTTTGCAGAGGCCTGAATGCAATGTGTTATACTGATTACTCTAAGCTTAATTTTTTGTCCTGTTCTCTGCTTATAGCCCAGAGTGTTGCCTTTCTTTGGAAAGGTTGGTAGCAAATAATTTCAACTCTTATGAGGAGAAGAGGCTCAGATCTACAAAGCTTACCTTCTTTTGGTTGGAACAAAAAATGCTAAATATTTGTTTGAATCAAGTGAACCCTTAGGTGTCATATGCAGCTTCCAAATATTTAGAGGGGTGAACACTGGAGAGGCAGAATTACTCAGGAAGAAGAAAAGGATTCTAAATAGAATGATGGACTTAAATTGAGAGAGAGAGAGAGTTGGTGTGAGTGTTAAGAGACATCCCTTGACAGCAAGATTTGTTTTTAAAAGAATGTGGTATTAGTCCATTTTAAGAAACTTCATGAAAGTGGTTTCAGTTAATGCCTTTAAAAGTAACTTTTTTAAAATTGAATTCTTCTTCCCTGTCTCTTGTAAGGCTGAAGCCTGCAAGTCAATAGAATATGCCATGAAGAAGTGTCCGAATGGGATGTACGCAGAGATCAAGTATGATGGGGAGCGAGTGCAGGTCCACAAGAATGGAGATCATTTCAGCTACTTCAGCCGAAGCCTCAAGCCAGTCCTTCCTCACAAAGTAAGGAGAGTCCCAAGCTATCCCCAGTAACAGGCTAGCTGCTTACCTTGGCAGTATTCCCCTATCTGTTCCTGGAACAATACAGCCCAATTTCAGGCTTTTGTGTATTTAGGTAATTTGTGATTCTTGAAAACCACAGTTTACATTATGGTAAGCAGAGTTCATTGTTAGCCTCTCTGTGGTATTTTGAAACTTGTCAGTTAAATAATTTGCTTTTGGACCTCTCTGCCAACTGCTTCTGGGTACAGTAGGCAGCTGTTTGGAGTGATATAGGTATTTTTTTATGAGGTCTCACTTTTTTCTTTTCTCTTATTTACTTCTCTCCTGCCCCAATACCTTTAATCTCTACATTAAACTTGTTGAAATTATGCATCGTCATTTTACCCCATCAGAAACTGGGGTCAGAGTTTTTTCCCAGATCCCTCACTTGATTCTCCCTCTCTGATTGATTCCTTGGGAGTGCCTCCATTGGAAAGTGTGGTTACCAGAGCTATCCCTAGGGGTATGCAGGGCCCTGGGCTTATCAACCTGTGCAGGGCCCGGGGGGAGTGGGGTGGCAAGTGGCTGGAGCCGGCGAAGCGAGCGGCAGGGGAGGGAGGATGGTGGTCGTGGTGCTTAGCAGTGGAGGCACATGGCAGCCACAGCAGGGCCTAATACTGCATTGACTGCGGGCCGCCCCCCAAGCATGGGGCCCAGGGCAGTCGGAATTTGCCCAAGCAGGAAGATCTAAATAATACCTTTCTCACAGAAGCTCATGGAGCTTGGCTGATATTTATAAAATGCTTTTGCAAAATACTAAATGACTTTTTTTGGTTTGGTTTTTTGTTTTTTTGTTTTTGCAACCACAAACTACAGCCCAGTACCTGAAAAGTATGGGCAGCCTGTTCACTACTTTTTCCTTCTACTTTTCTGATTCTTGGCAAGGGTGTGTAGGAGCTGGTGTTGGATGTTCAGGGGGTATGGATCTGTGAACAGAAGATAGGCAGTGAAGAGAAATTAAAACCAAAGGGATGAATATTCTGCTGTTAGTTTGACTTGAGGAGCAAAGTACATAATAAATAGAGTTCCTGTATCTAAGTATTCATCTGTAGTGACAATATTTTTGAAGGAGAAGCTTTAAGGAATGATACAAGAGAGGGAGCAGAAGTTTTGTCTCTTGCTGTGTCCTGAGGTAAATAAAAAATCTCTTGTTTGAAGTTTTCATTTGCAGAGAAGTGCTGCTTTTATAAAACTCGGGCAGATCCAAATAACTGTGCTGCTGTACAAGCTAGTGAAACCTTTGTGACTGACGCCTGTCAGTTGACTAACATCCAGGCTCTGCTAGGAGTTGAGGGATTCTGAATCATTCTGTACATGCTTAGCACTTGTTAGATTTTGAGTGGCCTTACATTACAGGTGAATACTCCTGGAGAGTTAGATTTATTGTATACACCAGTAGAATCTTATGGCATGTGAAAGGACTGGTTCTTATTATCTGTCTTTCAGAATCCAAGCGAGCAGGGAGGAGAACAAAGACTTGCTGTGTCCTGTTCTGGAAACAGAAGTCTGGGCTTGTTGATATGAGTATTTGATCTGTTAAAGTTCATGCCCTAGCACATTGCTGCTGCGTCTTTTCTATATGTCTTCATGGCCCCCTATGAAAGTCTTACATGAAAATTATACAGTTGTTCCTGCTTTGTGTCTACTTGAGGACTTTTCTGTGGGTTGGATGCTTTGGCTTCCACTAGAGCCAGGGGTTAATTGTAACTGGATGTGTGATTTGTGAATGCCTTTTCAGGGTGCTTGCTAGGTTTAATACTGCAGCCTTATGCTGCACAAAATTGATACATCTCCTGCAGTTTCACCAGTAAATTCTTATATGTATATAGCTCCAATTCAAGGAACCATTATGGATTTCTCTCTCCATTATAATAAGGTCACTTGCAGCTGAGAGAGAGAGAAGAATATCGGGTGAATTGTGGTCTGAATAGGGAATATTGAGCATACTTGCTGCATTTCTTCACAACATGTTCTGGAGGGAAGACTTTGCTGGCAGATGTCACAGGGTAAGCAAATAAGTCTTTGCCTCTTGTTTTTCAGGTGGCCCATTTTAAGGACTTCATCCCCAGAGCTTTTCCTGGTGGACACAGTATGATCTTGGATTCAGAAGTTCTTCTCATTGACAACAAAACAGGCAAACCACTCCCTTTTGGGACCCTTGGAGTCCACAAGGTACAAAAGAGTGCTCTTGTTATGAATTGCTTTATTTTTCAAATTAACAGAGATTTACAGCCTTAGTCTGTTAAAATATTCAGTAAAACTGTTTGCCCTGTTGGGTCATTGATAGGCTCAGTGGTGAACCAAGCATTAGGATAAGTTTCTGGGCTCAGGGTGTTAGTATAAGCTCAGACATACATTGTGCTGGGGTAGGATAGTACTTGTATTTGGAGAACTTGAACCTGGTGCAAATAATGAAAGGAGTTGCTGGACATATAAGTTATAGGGTTCTCTGCTATTATTCAACTTAACACTCTAGGAGGTAGAAGAGGCCAGTGTGACACTGATTTTAGGTATATATCGGTATGACTTAAAACGCAGTTATGTTGAACTGAAATGAGGATCAGGATGGTATATTGAGAATTAAATTACTGCTTTTATAAGGAGCCATTCACGTAACATCAGTATAATGTCTGGGTTTTCTCAAAGCAGGAGCAACTCATGCTTCACTTGCTGGAAGTCATCGATATCTATGCAGTTGTTGCTACCCTTTCAGTAGCAAATTAACGTTTCTTTTTCTTGTTTTGTATTTTAAAGAACTACAGTATATTTAAATCCAAGTTGTCTACAAGGAACAGCTGTTTACTATAACAAAGCTTAAATGGAAAAAAAAATTCTGTTGCTTCATATGTTTGTCTTGTACATTTTTCTCCAGTATTGCCATGTGCATAGTAGTTCGGTACTTCATGTGGATTTCTTTAACCGTTCTTAATTGCCTTACAGAAAGCTGCTTTCCAAGATGCCAATGTCTGCTTGTTTGTATTTGATTGTATCTACTTCAATGATGTCAGCCTGATGGACAGGTATGTTTGAAAGACATAGGTCCAGTGATGTTCAGGATGGAGAAATGGGGCCAAGAAAATATTTTCAAAAGCACCAAAGTTCACTTGGGCCAACTATACTGCAGCATCTGCGTGTCTTGAGCACATCTTACTTGCATGACCCTGAGAGGCTGCTCAGGCCTCATCCCCACTTGCTGCTCTTAGGTATCCTGGAAACTAGAGGAATATCCCTTGGAGTTAGTCTCATTGGCACATTTTCCAGGCTTGGAGCATGCGAGTCTGCAGGGCATTCTGTGGGACATGCCAGCTGGACGCATTGCTGCTGCAGAGGAGACAGTCTCTTAGGGACCAGGTCTGCAAACTGATTCATGCGCCTGTATACTTTGCACCCGCTGCTTTGTCTAAAACTGTTCAGCTGCAACTTATCCATGGCTTCTGCTGACTTAAGTTCCCTATCTGCCTAAGTTTGCCAAAGTGGGCCACTTGCAAATTTGAGTCCTGACTGTGCAGAGCTGTTCAGTGCTAAAGCTGTGGCAGGATACTCTCACATGTCCCACATGTGGATCCAGTTAGTAGTGCCTGAGTTGCTTCAAAAATGAGATTTGAGCACCAAAGTCACTTATAGATGTTTTAACATTTATGCCTCTCTATGAATATGTGAATCTTATAGGCTTTGTTACAGTAGCTGTGTATTCTGACTTGTCTGTCTCTTGTAACACAGATGTTTTATCATTTTGCTCTAACCCAAAACAAAGTTCTTTCTTTCTGGGCTTATTTTTAACCCTTTTTGGGTGCTGACAAACTTGGTGGGGGGGGGGGGAACCCCACCACTTCACCAGATGAGGAATTGCATCAATTTGACTCGGCTCTGCAGCTTTTGTATAGCTTGCATGCTTCAGCAGGGCTTTTTGGCACTTTTATTTAATAGCCGATTCAATTGGCTATTGGGTAAAATCACCAAAAAGCCCTGCTGAAGTGCACGAGCTATACCGATGCTTGGCAAGCCAGGTCAAACTCATTAGATTCCTCTTCTGGGCATGTGCTGTGTTGCGCTCAGTGCAGGGGCATGTAGAGCTAAAAGGAAAGTGCTGGGTTTTTTTCTTTTTTTTCCCACATCTGTAAGCAGCCTTTATTTTTAGTTTAAGCCAGTGTTTAAAATGGTGTTTTAAAACAAAGTCAATGTTTTATTTAAAAATATTGATACCAAATGGTTTGACATTTTCCATAATAAAATATTTCCATTTGAAGAATGTCTAAATACAATGTTTTGACACTTTAAAAAATATTTCCTACCCTTTTGAATGAAAATTCTTGTTGATTTCAGCCTAAATTGGCAAATAGCTTCAGTCCCTTGAAATGCCTTTTTTTTTTTTTGGTGAATATACAGTTCACCCAAAAAAATTGGCTCTAAAGTTTCAGCAAAGTAACTTACTATATTTACCCAAATACAAGGTGACCTGGAATGTAAAACAATCCCCCCCCCCAATAATTAGGTTCTACACATGGAAAATTATAAATTTTATTATAATTTTCGGTGTATGCAATCTAATTAGTGGAGGATCATCTTAAATTTATTCCTGCCCCCCCCACCGCCCCCAACCACTACAGGTGGTGGTGAAAGATCAGGGAGCAGTAATGGGGCAGTTGGGTGGGGGGAGTAGTAGGGTGCAGTAATGGAGCAGACAGTGGGAGGAAAGTGGGCAGTGTGGAGGTGGTGGTGCAGGCAGTGTGAGGTAGGCAGCCTGCTTCCTGCTGCCTCTTTCTTCCCCCCCTGACCCTCCTTACCCCACATTGTGCCTGCTCTCCCCACAATCTCAGACTGTCTGAATTTTCCCCTTGTGCCCCCCCTGAAGTCTTATTCTCCCTGCTCTCCCCCCTTACCTTACTCTGCACCAGCAGTCTCCATCCCTGCTGCAGCCTGGGGCATGGGGCATGGCTCCAGCCTGGACCTGTAGTACTGCAGAGCTGGTAGTGTTGCTACAGGGCTGGGCTGGAGCATGTCCTGTATTCTCCAGGATGCAGAGAGGACAGAGCCTGCTAGTGTGGAGCAAAGATAAGGAGGAGTGCACAAGAGGGGACAAGAGGAAGAAGCTGCTTGGTGGGGGCAGATACTGTGAGCTGCAGGGAAGGAATGGCAGGGTATGTAGAGGTTGGGGAGGGAGGCAAATAGGCAGCAGCTGCCACTCCAGCTGCCCAGCTTCAGCAGCTGCACTGTATTGTAAGGCATGGAGTTTTTGTCTTCCTGGTAAAGGGGCGGGAGAAAACCTCATCTAATTGAGTAAATATTGTAATATGCATATTACACAAGCTGGGTATAAGAGCATCTGAATTATCTTGGCCTTCCAGACTTTGCCCAGCTAATTGCTACATTTCTTTGTTGCTGGAAGACAAAAAACTGCATCTAATTTCAATAAAATTGGGGGATCACCTGTGTGAATAACCTCTCTTAATAGGAGGGTAGATGACCTGTACAGCCTTCACACAGTGGAGCATTGCATGGTGGGAGTCGTAGTATGCTGTCACCCACTCTAAAACAGGTTGTATAGTAAAATCCTATTGCACAAGAGAGTCTGAACTCTGTAGCCTGAGTATTCTAATATAAATAACACCATTGGCTTGAATTTCACTTTAAAAGGATGTTAATAGATTGATAGCAGCAATGAAATATTTGAGCTAGAACCAGTGGACCAGAGTCCTGCTCTGCAGTTCCACTTATCCTCAGAACAATCAAAGACCTAAAAGGCTTCAGTATTAAACACAGGCTCCATCTATGAGTTGAAATTAGTATCCATGATTTAAAGCTGGCTTATTTGTTTACATGGGAGTTTATGGTACTTTACAAGGTGGTGTATAAAATATTGATTTCATTTCCTGGCATTGTAAAGGAGAAATTATTTGCTAAGTGGTGTTTAAGTAGCTTTTTCTTAATGTTCGGGTGTCTGGTACATAGCGGCTGAGGTACTTTTTCTTTTTTGATATATGCCCTTTGTTGATGCATCTGTTCTTTCTCAGGCCTTTGTGTGAGCGTCGTAAGTTTCTCCATGATAACATGGTTGAAATCCCCAGCCGGATCCTCTTCTCCGAGATGAAGCATGTCACAGTGAGTTCAGTTTCAAATAGCAAGAAGGGTTTACCGTCAGATTCTGCATCTGAACTCTGACCCTTTACACCTCTCATTGACTTAATAGCAACATGCTTAAAGGCTGCACATGTAGCAACTCATCAAATGATCATCCACATGGATTATATTTCTGGTATGCGTGTATGCAACATGAGATGCTTTTCTGGGGCTGAGCATATGTCCCAGCGGCCCTCAAATCCAACCCAGGAATATAAAGGGTGCAGTGGATTCAGCTGACTCTTGTTTCCTCCTTACTGTTTCTAGAAGTGATCTGGAATCACTGCATTATCTACTTACTCTGCACGTCCTGCAGTTTTTCTTTAGCTGGTCAACTATATGTGAAAAAGCTGTCACTAGAACATAGGAGCTGCAGACTATTCCATCTAAGACAATAGCCTGCCTATTGCTGCCAGGCTACATTTAGCTACTATAGAGACAACAACAGATTTAGTGGTCACTTCAGTTGCCATGCATAGAACTTCATAGCTTCACAGCCCATCCTTCCCCTTCCTGCTGCCAAGTCCTGTGCTTGTATTGGCAAAAAAAATTGAGGGACAGCTGTTTTCTTTGAAAATAGCTGGCTGATGGTGTTTGATAATTGTTTGCCACTTCAGGTACTTTTTCTTGGTGAATTTTTGCTCCCCCTGAAGAATGGTAAGAATAGCCAGTGGAAAATCCCTGGTACACATTGCCATCTAGGAGGATGAGACTTAGCACAGCCATTTCCTTTCCCTTCCAGAAAGCTTCAGATCTGGCAGATATGATCAATAGAGTCATCCGTGAGGGACTGGAAGGACTGGTGCTGAAGGATATAAAGGCAAGTGTACTAATGTCCATATTTTCTTTTGGATTGAACTAGAACCTTCGAATAACAATTTTTCACTGTAAGATTAGATTAGATTTAATACTGAATTGTTCTAAAGGAGCCTAGCTCTTTAAAAGTAGATGTAACCTTTTGAACTATTCCACAAATGGGGCTGTTGGTATACAACTGACTTCTCTTGAACCCTCAAATTACTGTTATTACTTAGCTAAATAGTAATTTTATTCTTACTTGGTTGCATGTGTCCCTGTCATTTAAGTGTTCATTTAAATTCATGAAACCTCTCTATAAACGGGGCTGGCAGTACTTATACATGCCCTATAGCAGTGTGGGCCACTGTTTAGGACACTGAATTGGAGGAAAAAACCTTGACCTTTATGGACAACTCTGTTTTGACCATAGATATAGCACTACGTCTCTCAGCACTTTGGTTTCTGTCTGCATAAATGTGCTTTAAAAGGTACTTAAGATACTTAGCTGCTTTTGTAAATTTTTTTTGAGATTAGAAGAATGAAAACACTATGCCTACCAGCATTTTTTTAAATGTCATCTCTAGATTTTGGTGATGGTCACTTTCATAAACAGTGGAAATCTTGATCTAAACCTGTCCCTGTGAATCAAAGGTATTCTTGTAGCCAGCTAATGGTTCCCTGCAGAAATATGAATGGGGTTTCCTTACCAGGAATGCTTACTTGTTTTGTGTAGAGCACGTATGAGCCAGGAAAACGTCACTGGCTGAAAGTGAAAAAGGACTATCTAAATGAAGGTGCCATGGCTGATACAGCAGACCTGGTGGTTCTGGGAGCTTTCTACGGACAAGGCAGTAAAGGTGTGTCTGCTAGAACTAGTGTGCATCTGTAACTTACCTGTTATTCAGTTAGTAGAAGAATCTCTGGTTTTTTGCCTGGCTAATTTCAACAGCTGCCCCTTTTATGAGGCTGTTTTTTGGATATAGTACTTACTGCTGTATGCAGTGATCTATAACAAAGCATGGTAGTTGCAAACAGCAGGCTTCACTGTGGGATAGAGTGCAAGAGCATTGGGCAAGAGAGTCGGCTGGTGTCCTGTGGCCCAGCAGAGAGTCTCATCACTAAGTGTTGTGCATTGGAGTTTACCTGAGAATATCAGTGATGATGAAGAAAGTCTTACTTTCAAAAGCTTTTCTTGCTCTGTACCAGCTATGTAGTTGGTCCAGTAAAAGATAGCAGCCTGAGAAATCCTTGCCCCTCACAATATCGGTCACAAGCATCAAGTCCCAAGGGTGGAGCTACTGCTTGCTGCTGCTTTGTGAAATGTGAAGTCCTAGGCTGGCCATGGTATCTTGACACCGAAACCCCCTTTTCTCTGTTCCAGGTGGAATGATGTCAATTTTCCTAATGGGCTGCTATGATCCCAAGACTGAAAAATGGTGTACGGTGACAAAGTGCTCTGGTGGGCATGATGATGCCACCTTAGCTCGCCTGCAGAATGAGCTGGACATGGTGAAGATCAGCAAGGTGAGTTGGGCTCTAGCACTAGGTTGGTTAGGAGTACATTCAGCAATTGGCTTGAGAAAGGGCTGCTTCCCCCTTTGGCTTGAGTAGAAGTGGTGAGTGAGTAGAGATGGCAGAAATGACTGTCAGGGCCTAACCATAACCTGAAAAATGGCTTTAAATGATGGAAGATATAGCTAAAGATCTCTGGAGACCTTCCACTAGAGATCCATGATCTGTCCAGCCAAACTGAACTTCAGTTACTGCCAGCTTTCTGAACATTGGGCATTCCCTTACATTTGTACACTTGTGATATGTGGGAGGTCATGTACCATATTTAGATGAGAAGTAACAAACTGCAATTTTAAGGGCCCCTCTAGACAGTCAGGTAAAGCACAATCCACACAATCATAGGGCCACTGCCACAGCTGGAACTCCCAGCCATGGCAACCCATGGGACTGTGCTGTGGCTGAGAGTCCTGTCAGCTCTGGGACTCCCAGCCACAGCAGTGCATGGTGCGACCCTGCAGCTAGGAGCCCCATCAGATGACAAATTTTAAAGCTGGATAGAAAGCAACTATAAAGTTATTACGCATTTTCCAGCCCTAACTTTATAGCTGGTTGGACCTTCTTACGGCATGGTAGTTGCACATGTCGCTGATCTAAAGTAAATGCCTAATTAACCAGGTAATTGTATAATACATACAGCATGTAGAGGGGGGGCTTAGTTTACTTTAACTAACCCAGCCATCAGATGAAGGTTCAGCATGACAAATGCCTAGGTGAAAATTTTTGAGCTCCAGAGTTAAAACCTGGGCATATAAGGCTGTATACTCGTGTTCAACTAATCTAGGAGATTTCTTGGTTTGCTGAGCCACTATGTGTAACCAGGGGCCCCTGTGCATACATCTCGGCCTGCTCTGCAGGCTCTCAGTCTGCCTGGCAAGAGATGATAGCAGTGCATGGAGCAGCCCTGATTGGCTGACCCAGACTGTCTTGCAGGCTGTTTCCCTGCAGCACAATGAGGGAATTGTGAAGGGGGCCCTACTTGGCTGGAGCAGTAAGTCCAGCGTAAGCAATACACTGTCTCCCTGGACCTCTGGGTGGGAGAAAACATACTGGGATGCTGGAGGACAATGCTGCAGCTTCTCTCAGAAGGTACCTATAGAGAAGATGCTCTCCTGGGAGCCATTTAACTCTAGTTGTTCATGGGTTATTGTTCTACTAGAATGACCACTTTTACACTAGGAGAAAAAGCCTGAACATCTGTACAATTGTGGCTTCTCCTGGGAGAGTAGCAACTCTCCTAAGAGAAACTGAATGTCTGTGTGAGGCTCCAGGCTATGTACAGACATTTGTTTTCTGGGAGAGTCACTGCTCTCTAAGGAGAAACCGTGAATGTATGCATGTTCAGGATTTTTCTCCCAGAAAAATGGCTGCTCCGGGAGAAAAATAACCTGTTGGAGAGTTTCTTCTGGCAGAGTGAATGTCTGTACATGCCATAAGTGTAGTATCTTGGGTCACTCTTATTTAAGTACCTATGCAGATTTAAGTTCTGAAAATGAATGAGCTTGAAGCATGTACTTGACATTTTAGAAAGTTAAAAATTCAATATGCCTGGCAGTATATCACTGTAACTTGAAAATTGTATAGTAAGATTAAAATGTATTGGAATTTTGTTGTAACCAAGTTAAAAGCAACTCGGGCATTATGCCTTAGAGTAAATTGGTTGCTGGATTCTGAGGCACACACTTTTGATGTATGAAGCAGGATTGTTGGGGTTGGATTCTGTACAGGATGTAGGTGCTGTTGCTAATCAAACAAGTTTCTTTTAGCAGGTCTTTTCTGTTAGAAAAGGTTTATCACATGGATTATCATCAATGATCCTGTTATCTCCTCTTGGCTTTCTAGGATCCCAATAAAATTCCAAGCTGGCTAAAAATAAATAAGCTCTACTATCCAGATTTCATTGTTCCAGACCCAAAGGTAAGTGCTCATCGCATCCTCTGTGATACTTCTGGCTGGAGTTAAGTCTGTCTGAAAATCTCATAGTGATTTTAGAGATGTATATAAATGCTTAGCTCAGTTTTGCCTGGGTCTTTTGGGAAAGAGGTGCAGAGATACAAACATGTCCAGTTTAGTAGATTAATGAGAGGCCTACAAAGATTTGGCCTTCTCTCTGACAGATCTCCAATGTGTTCTATCTAGAAGGCCCCAGTGTGGGAGATAACAGGTGCGGAGTTCTCTAAAGCAGAAGCCCACACGGCAGATGGGATTTCCATTCGTTTCCCTCGTTGTACCCGGATCCGAGATGACAAAGACTGGAAGACAGCTACCAATCTCCCTCAACTCAAGGTGAGGCTTTTAATTTAGTTGCATATCCTCAGCATGGTAATGATGGAAATCCTGAGGGAAGCTGCTTAAAGAAAAGGCAAATTCTGACTGCACTGTACATAATGGAATACTTGCTGGCAGCCATGTTCATAGTAGCAGATTGGGTAATTGCACTAGGATGAGTTTGTTTTATGAGCTTTGTTGCTGTGCATCTTGTTTTTATATAGAAGGCTTTTCTGAGGCTGTTGGATGAGTTACTAGAAGTTACAAAATAACTAGGGATAGCTAGGGGGTCACAAAATGAAACTAGTAGGTAGTAAATTTAAAAATTACAAAAGGAAGTTCTTTACACAGTGTGTAATTTAAAGTGTGGAACTCCATTGCCATCAAATGTTGTGGAAGTTGCCAGTTTAACCACATTCAAAAAAGGGATTGGACAGGTTCTTGGAGGAAAGGGGCATTAGTAGCCGTTGAGTACGGGGAATTAAGGATACAGCCTCTGAATCAGAATTTCCCAGACTTAAATGGTGGAGGCTGCAAGTGAGAGAAACAGTGGAAGAAACCCTGGTCAGACCCAGTTCATTCTCCCTTTCAGCATCCAGTCTCTGCCACTGCAACACAGGAGACCAGGCAAGATGAACCTATGGTCTGACCCAGTGAATGGCAATACTTGTGTTCTTAATAGTGCACTATGGAGAAATACTGTGTCAGCAGGCTGTTGCATTACCTCTTGTAACAGCCACAGTGATGGAGGAAGTCATTTTCTGACCAAGATAACTTTCTCTTCTAAGTTCGTCATAGTTCTACATTCCATCAAAGCAATACAGGTCACCCTTAGCTAAAAGGACAGCTTCAGCTAGACAAGCAGGTGAGCTTCTCAGACAACATCCAGCCAATGGCACTGCATTGGCTGGATGCTCCTGCTGTCTTCCTTCTCACAGTCAGGGCAGGGGTGTTTGTGACATCCCATTTGCCATCTGTTCCTTCCTAGTGAGAAGTGATTGTAAGGGAAAAATAGGCATATTCCACATCAGTGTGGTCTAAATGGCAGCCTGCCAGGAACTTGGAATCACAGCCTTTGTACACAATCCTGATATCTTCCTTGTTCTTTATGGCAGGAGCTGTACCAGCTCTCCAAAGAGAAGTCTGATTTCAGTGTTGTTGCTGGAGAGGAGGAGGTATCTCCAGCTGGTAGCAGTGGAGAGAATGATGGAAATTCAGGGTCTTCCACACCACACAATACTCCTAAAACTCCCCCAAGGAAGTCGCCTGCAAAAACCAAGAAGTCTGAAGGTAAAGTAGTGCCCTCCAAAGGGGGTGGGCTCTGGATGGCTGGGGTCAGTTAATGGCATTCTGTCACTTGCTTTCTCCTGGAACTGGTCCCTGTATTATAGCATTTCCATTGTTCTGCCCCCAGAGACTTGATCTCCTTCCAAATTCCTGAGTAGCTTCATGTTTGAATGTTGACAAACAGGGAAAGGGATAGACAACCTGTGCATCATGCCAGTGCAGAAGCAGCAACAGCACAAGTTTTGGGAGGTGATCAGGAAAGAAGATGGAGAATTTCTTCTTGGAAACTTACCTCCTGGCTCTTCGCAGCCAGTCTGGATGTGCCAGCACCTTTCCCTTTTCTCCTTCTCTACTCACCTGTATTTCAAGAACTGCTTTAAAACACACCTGTCTCAGCCATGTGCACTAACAATGCAGGGGGTTCTTGTTGACAGGTAACAATTTAGTCTATGTGACCCCCGAAAAGAAAGTGGAGGATAAACGAGGGGAGAAGCGGAAAGCAGCCGAGCTGGATGACAATGGGAAGAAGGTAAAGTTGGCTGGGTGGGGAGCTGTGGGGTAGTGAAGGAATGAGGGAAAACTAAAATGTATGAATGTTCCAGAACAAATCTGAACCACCAGAGACTGCGTGCTGTGTAAAGGTCAGCCAGGCTGCTATGTTAAGTGCCAGCTGCATTGGAGTCTACAGCATGATGCAACTTTCCCTTGATCTGAGCCTTGTTGGGGTAGCAGCAGTGTTCTCAGGCCTGGATTTCTAGATGAGCAGGGCAGGACCACTTCCTAGCATTGTCCATGCAACAAGTCAGTCAGGCATGTAGTGTGGAAAAGCCTGAGATGTAGTGTGGTGTTTGTTACTGACAAGGGCTAGTGCCAGTATCGTTGCTTCACTTTACAGCCTTCCTCCCTTCCAGCCAGTCACAGAATTGTGGAAAATGGACCCAGCCTAATGGATTAGAGTTCAGGAGCTTCCATCTACACAAAAAATCTGGTGATTGGGAGGGTAGAGGAAAATGCTTCCTCTGATTCAACTTCAGTCCATTCCTGGTTGCTGTGTTCTACACAGGAGTTGTGGGGACCCAGCAGAGTTGCACGATTGCTTTGGGACAGTCCC